AATGAAACATTCGGCACGTTATAAGCAGTAAAATGTGTATCTTTATAAAAGTCAAATAACTCTTTTTTTAAAGAAAAGCTTAAGATATTAATTAAAGGATTAAATATATTATATTAAATATTTTAGTAATTTTTAATATATATATATAATAGTGGGAGAATAGATCATACTACTGTCTTTCTCAATAACCTTTGCATCAACCAAGAATATGGAAGTTGAAATAATCTCTTCTCAGTGCATCAAACCCTCTGGCCCAATAATTGATCACCCAAAAACACATAAGCTTTCAATCTTAGACCAATTCATCCCTCCTATATATATTCCAATGGTACTTTTCTACTCTGCTGATCAAAACACTCAAACCATCACTGATATCACTCAGCAGAGAATGAAACAATTAAGGGAATCCTTAGCACAAGTCCTGACTCTCTTTTACCCATTTGCTGGAAGGGTTAAAGACAAGATTACCATCGATTGCAATGATAAAGGGGTTCACTACACCGAGGCTAAAGTAAGTTGTAGCCTAGCTGAATTTTTTAACCAATCTAATTTCTTGTCATTAATCTACAAGCTCCTTCCAAATCAAGCAACCATGGAAGTATCGGCAGAAGGGTACACAACTATGGCAAAAGTGACTTGTTTTGCATGTGGTGGCATAGTGATAGGTGCCTTAATATCTCACATGGTAGCAGATGGAGCAGGTGCGAGTTTCTTTTTAAACAGTTGGGGTTCTAACTCTTGTATCGGTAAGTTTCAACATACATTTGAATTTCCTAACTTTGACACCCCTTTCCCTCGAAATAATGCATCCCTACAAGACACAAATGCGATGCATTTGTGTGGCCAATTTTTGAACAAGGGTAGGCTTGGATCGAGGAGATTTTTGTTTGATGAAGAAGCTATTTCAAAGTTAAGAGCTCAGGGGTCAAGTTCAATTGTGCAAAACCCTACTCGAGTGGAGGTGGTAGCATCCCTTATATGCAAATGTGTTGCAAAAGCTTACAAGGCAAACACTGGTTTGGAGAGGCCAACTTTGATAACTCACGCAGTAAACTTGCGTCGAAGGGCGTCTCCTAATTTTCCAAACTCGTGTATGGGTAATTTTGTTTGGTTGCCTACAGCTTTAATGAGTCAAAATTATGAGTTACCTAAATTGGTTACTAAATTCAGGGAAGCAGTGACGTCAATTAGCTCTGATTTTGTGAAAAGCTTCCAAGGTGAAGCGGGGTATGTTAATTATTGTAAAAGTTCAAAACAGGTAATCGAAACAGCTTCAAGGGTTGCACAGATGAATTCAAGTGGGGTTAATTATCTTCATTATACGAGTTGGTGTAACTTTGGTCTCTATGATGTTGATTTTGGATGGGGAAAGCCAATTTGGGTGTCTTGTGTTGCTGATTCACTTGATAATAAGGATGATACATTGTTTTTCAACTCGGTGATTCTAATGGATACACCTTTAGGAAAAAGAATTGAAGTTTGGGTTTATTTAAAAGAAGATGAGATGGCCATATTGCAACAAGACAAAGAACTTCTTACGTTTGCCACCATGGATCCAAGTCCTCTGCAACTAAAGGATTAAATATCTCATATGCCTATGGTCCTAGTCGACAATGCTTCATTTTCTATATGATACAACTAGTACATTAACCATCTGAAAGTGTACGGAGTTCATCCTCCTATATGTATTTATTAAAATAATTGGTTATTATCTATAATATTAAGTTGTTATATATCAAATCTATTATTATTATTATTATTATTATTATATACTAAGGAATTCAGTTGATATAGATAAATGTGAATATAAAAATTAAGTGTTTTTCATTTTTTGTAAAATTTAGTAATTATAATATTAAATCATAGTAAAAAAAATTTGGACACAATAAAATAATAATTGTTTATTAATGATAAATTAATATTTGGTCAATTAATGATCAAATTGAGGAAATTATGAGAAGAATTAATGTTTTATAATAAATCATTTCATCATAAAGGTAGATTATAAAATCACACGTAATTATATCTGTTTACGTTATTTGGTATTAGTGGTTTAAGGCATTTTGTGATTAAATATATTTTGTTTAAAAATAATATTAAAAAAATAGAGGTTATAGAATGTAAATTAAGTGTGATGTATATAATTAAAATAGAGGAACATAATTTTAGAGGGTGTATTGTATTAAGATTTTAAAATATTTTCTATTATAATTTTTTTTGTGATATCCAACCAAAAAATTAAAAATTATATAATATTTAATTAAGATAATTAAGATTTTTTAAGAGTATAAATTGATAATATTCAATTACGACAATCAGTTGGATAGAGTACGTCAAAATATGTTAATATTTAATTAAGACTATTTTTTCACTTAAAAAAAATTGTTGGTATTCAAAAATAAATATTTCAATTGATTATTCTAAATGATGGATTTTGTGATAATTTTTAATAAAATTTATATAATTCATTCTTTGAGAATTCGCATGATTTTTTTCTTTTGTTTATTTTTCTTCTCTTTCTTCTCTTTTTTTTTTTTGCTTATCTTTATTTTTCCTCTCTCTCATCTTCTCTTTCTTTCCTTTCTCTCTTACCTATCTCATCTGCTTCTTTTTCTTCTTCTTCTTTTTTTTCTTTTTTTCTCTCTCTATGTTATATCTTTTCTATCTCATATTCTCCTTCTCTTTTAATTTGTTCATCTTACATTTGTTTTTTTTCTTCTTCTTCTCTCTATTTTTTCTTGTATGGATTTTTTTTATATTAATCAAAAAAATTTATTACATTTTTATCTATCAATATTGATGTATAATTTATTAATATCTATTTTTAATTATTAATGATTTAAAATTATTTTTGAATTATTAAATATTAAATATCATTAAAAATTTTAAATTATTAAGTTTAAAAAATGTTTATTTCAATAAAATTTAATATTGAAATATCAAAATTTTAAACATGTATTTAAAATAGATTTTGACAATTCTACTGATTAATAAATATCACAAATTTGAACATATTGGTCAAATTCAATAGTATAAATGAGAAAATATAAATGCATAGAGATTTATATGTAGATAAATGTTAATTAAAAAGATATAAAACTATAATCAATTGTTTATTAAAAGATTATAAAATTTATTGATTTTATTTTCTTTATTCAAACTTTGTCATTTATGTTATTTTTTTATTATTTTTATTTTTTAAAAAAATTATATTATCCTTCGAAATTTAATAAAATCTTGTAAATTCTTGAGATATAAATTCATTAAAATTCATATTACAAAATCTTAATTAAAAAATATTTTAAAATAATCTTAAAAGTTATTACATTTCTACAAAGTATTTCGAAAAAAAATCATTAAATTTTTATAATGTCTTTTGAAATCCCCAAAAAGTTTTTTGTGACAAAAAAAGACTTATGAAATCTAGTACATTCTCCTTAAACAAAATTGGAACAATTAAAAAATAAGAGGATAGTTATTATTGATTGAGCTGATAATTATTGTTTTATAGATATTTTTGTTCTTTTATCTTACTCTTAAGAGATATGATAATGGAAAAAAAAAATATATATATATATATATATATATATATATATCATAAAGAAGTACACATGCCTAAAAATGTGAAAACTAAAGGAAAATATCTCATATATATATAGTAAGAAAAGATAGCATATTAAGAAAAAAAATCGATATTATTGCAAATAGGATTACTTTTTATACCAACGTCTTGAACCACTAAATTTTCTTAAATATAAAATAATTAAATTTAATGTGAAAACTAAAGGAAAGTATCTCATATATATATATATAGTAAGAAAAGATAGCATATTAAGAAAAAAAATCGATATTATTGCAAATAGGATTACTTTGTATACCATCGTCTTGAACCACTAAATTTTCTTAAATATAAAATAATTAAATTTTAATCTTGATTTTTGAAAAAATATATATATAATTTTTAACTACTAATTTATGTTGTTATTGTTCATTTTAAGGTGTGTGTGCTGTGTGCGCGCGTGTGTGTGTGTTGTGTGTGGGTGTGTATGTGTGTGTGTGTGTGTGTGAGAGTGTGTGTGTGCGTGTGCGTGTGCGTGTGCGTGTGCGTGTGCGTGTGCGTGTGCGTGTGTGTGTGTGTGTGTGTGTGTGTGTTCAGTAAGATACATGAATAAATTGACCATTAAGATTAAGTATCCCTTGCCTAGGATAGATGACCTTATGGATCAACTAGTTGGGGTAGATTTAAGGTCAAGATACCATCAGATTAGAGTGAGAGCTGAGGATGTTTCTAAGACTGCCTTTAGGACCTGCTATGGGCACTATAAGTATTTAGTTATGCCTTTTGGTGTGATTAATGCACCTGGTGTTTTTATGGATTACATGAATAGGATCTTTCACCCTTACTTGGATAGATTTGTAATAGTCTTCATAGATGATATCCTAGTGTATTCCAAGACTAGGGAGGAGCACGTTGAGCACCTTAGGATCATTCTTCAAACCCTTAAAGAGAAGGAAGTTGTATGCTAAATTGTCAAAATGTCAATTTTGGTTGGATAGTGTGAACTTTCTAGGACATGTAATATCCAAGGGTGGGATAGTTGTAGATCCTGCTAAGGTAGAAGTTGTGTTAGAGTGGAGTACACCTAAATCAGTATTTGAGATTAGGTGCTTCTTAGGACTAGCTGGTTATTATAGAAGGTTCATAGAGAATTTCTCTAGGCTAGCTCTTCCTTTGACTAAGCTGACGAAGAAAGACCAACCTTTTGTGTGGGATTCTAGGTGTGAGGAAAACTTTCAAGAGCTTAAGAGGAGACTAACTAGTGCCCCTGCATTAGTGTTACCTGTCCCTAATAAGACTTTTGAGATATTTTGTGATGCTTCTAAATTGGGTTTAGGAGGAGTGCTTATGCAAGAGGGTAAGGTAGTAGAATCTGATTATAGACAAATTAAAATTCATGAGAAAAAATATAACAAAAATGAAATTGAGTTAGCTGCAATAGTTTTTGTACTTAAGTTGTGGAGACATTACTTGTTTGGGTCTAGATTTGAGGTTTTTAGTGACCATAAAAGCCTTAAGTACTTGTTTGACCAAAAGGAATTGAATACGAGACAGAAAAGATGGTTAGAGTTCCTTAAGGATTATGACTTTCAATTGAATTATCACCCCGACAAGGCTAATGTTGTAGTTGACGCTTTAAGTGGAAAATCTTTGAGAGAATCTTCTTTGACTTTGATGATTAGGGAGTTGCATATGATTGAGGAGTTTAGGGATATGAGCTTAGGGTGTGAGTTGACCTCTAAGAGTATTAAGTTGGGAGCTTTGAAAGTGACTAATAGCTTGACAGATGAGATTAGAGAAGGTTAGAAGGTAGATCCTTTCTTATCGAGTCAAGTAGGGAAGTTGAATCAAGGTGTGGAGAGTGAGTTTAGATTTGGAGTGGATGGAGTGTTGAGATTTAAGGATAGTTTGTGCATTCCTAGTGTGTCAGAGCTTAAGAGAGCAATCCTAGAAGAAGGTCATAGGAGTAGCCTTAGTATCCATCTAGAAGCCACTAAGATTTACCAAGACCTTAAAAAGATGTTTTGGTGGCCTAAGATGAAGAGGGAAGTGGAGGAATTTGTGTTAGTATCCATCCAGGAGCCACTAAGATGTACCAAGACCTTAAGAAGATGTTTTGGTGGCCTAAGATGAAGAGGGAAGTGGAGGAATTTGTGTATGCCTGCTTAGTATGTCAGAAAGCTAAGGTAGAACACCAAAAACCTTCAGGTCTGATGCAACCTTTAGATGTGCCTGTGTGGAAATGGGATAACATCTCTATGGATTTTGTAGTTGGGTTACCTAAGACTGTGAAGAACTTGGATGCTATATGGGTCATTGTGGATAGATTGACTAAGTCTGCCCATTTTATTCCCATTAATATTAGGTACCCTTTGGAGAGGTTAACCAAGTTGTACATAAGTGAGATCGTGAGTTTGCATGAGTTCCTACTAGTATAGTGTCTGATAGAGATCCTAGGTTTACCTCTAGATTTTGGGAGAGCTTGCATAAGGCTTTAGGCACTAAGCTTAGATTGAGTTCAGCCTACCATCCCCAAACAGATGGCCAAACTGAGAGAACCATACAATCTTTGGATGAGTTGTTGAGGGCTTGCATCTTTTTACATGGAGGTAGTTGGGGTAGCTTCCTACCTTTGATAGAATTTACCTACAATAATAGCTACCATTCTAGTATTGGGATGGCACCCTATGAGGCTTTGTATGGTAGGAGATGTCAAACACTTTTATGTTGGGTAGAACCTACAGAGAATGCCATGTTAGGACCTGAGATAGTTCAACAAACTACTGAACAGGTTAAGATGATCCAAGAGAGGATGAGAGCAACCCAGAGTAGGCAAAAGAGTTATAATGACAAGAGGAGAAAAGACCTTGAGTTTAAAGAAGGTGATCATATATTCCTTAAAGTCACTCCTTGGACAGGAGTAGGCAGGGCACTGAAATCCCATAAGCTTACTCCACGTTTCATTGGTCCTTATTAAATTCTTAAAAGGATCGGTGAAATGGCCTATCAAATTGCCTTGCCTC